AATATACCTGTGTGCTAGAAATTTTGGCATTACCATGCTATTTTCTAGTTTTATATAAATTTCAGATATTTATATTAAACTTCATATTCTGTTGATGTTTTTGTAAATCAGAACTAACGGGGGAAGAGAAAGAACACTCAGCTGCTTGCTTACAGCACTATTTCCCAGTCTTTATATGGAAACTGAGGCACAAGCAACTCGAAATTTGCTTTCTGTTGGGACCTGGTTCTATGGCTACCTCTCATAAACGTGCTCCAGACAAGTCACTTTTTAGTTATGTGATCTTAGTTTTCTTTTTCATCATCCCAGTCTGCAAACACGTGTTATGCGGTGTGATGCAGAGTCAGATCTGGTGATTGATTTCTCAAGTTTTCTCCTATTTTTCCGTGCTACTGGAAGCATAGAGTGATTTTCATGTAGGTCAGAATTCTGTCCTGCGGTGTGTGTTGGATAACATCCCAGTCTCCATTGCTTATGCAGCGCAGGGGCTGCAAGCACAATCCGTTTAAAACGTAATGTTATACAGCACACAGAAGTCTTACAACATTTTTACGACTTTTGATTCATTGTCCACTTCGTGTTTTTACTTTTCTGACTGGGAGACTCGGGTAGCATGATCTATCACCACCACTTTTGCACCATGACATTGTTACAGTCTGGGTTTTGTAAGGCAGCCAATGTAAAAGGACAGGTACTGTCAAACCTGGTCTGTAACAGAAGAGCCTTTGGCCTTTGCCGAGGAAGCTTTCTGCAGAGTGCCATGTGCTTCTGTGTCTGGTGCAGCTCGTCAGAACGGCAGCCCAGCAGAAGCAGCCTGCGAGCCACTAATACCATTCTCAGCATTGTCTGCTGGCTGCCTGGATTACATGTTGCTGCTGAAAAGATCTATAGCCAGCAAGCAGCCTGCCCTGGTGCTCCCAACTCTTAAACTCTTGTTTGGCTCTGCCCTTGTTAGCAGCAGTGAGATTCCCTCCTTCCCCCCTCCCCAACTCCTACCCTGAGCATTTTAGCGCCAGGGAGGTTTTTAAGACAGGAGTAAGGCTCGTCTCCAGTTCATTCAGTTGTGATACTGGTGTTGCAGCAGGAAACGAGAGGCAAGTATACCATGTGCTCTTGCTTCAAGTGTGCTGGGGAGGTATTGGCAGTTCAAATCCTTCCTCTTGCTGTAAACAAAATTAGGCAGGGGGTGTTGTGATCACTAAGCCTTAGTGGGGAAATGGTGCTCTAGGCAGGGGTTGAATCCTGGTTGTGTTGCCCAACTTGTCCTCAGCAGTTTTTCTCAGTATATTTGAAATTTGGGTAAGGTATATTGAGAGGATCAGTTTTCAAAAATCTTTCTTTTTGAGTTACTCTGGTTTAGTCAAAACACTGGAGACAAAGAAATAAATGCATAATTGCTTTAATACCTAATAGGGGCTGCTGTAATACTGTAGAAAAATGAAGGGAGGATTACGCTGGTGGATTCCAGGTGGTATTTAATCAGGGCTGGAAAATAGGCACTTGAAAAGTCTGTCTGCTACAACATACCACCCTGCTCCTTCATCCTAAGTAGAGTAGCTGGGTATTTTGGGGAGAGAAATCGGCACTGAGGCTAGTTTGTTTCTGACCATAAATCTTAGCGAGTAGCAGTTGCAGCTGGACGAGGCAAAAATGAGCAGGAACTGCCTTAGAGGAAGGTCTGCAGCATGGGCACAGGGAGGGCACCCGGCTGGCCCCACCTGGTAGAGGCATCTTGTGGCGGAGACCTCGGGGCACCCGGGCATCCGCAGCCCGCGGGACTGAGCAAGCTGGCTGTGGCATGCAGCCTCCACCCACACAGCTCTCCAGGGGCTTGCCACCGGGATGGTGAAGTAGGAAGCATGATGCTGGTAATAGCGTAGCTCTGCCCAAAATGTAATTCACCTGTCATTAGCATGGGATGCATCTGCTGGATCGTATTTGGAAGTTACAGCTGCGTGGTTTTAGTTGTATTTGTGGTGTGATGGTTATTAAGGAAAAGTATTTCTGGCCAAGTGGATTTGCTTCCTTAATAAATAAATAAATTATTAGCAATTATGCTTGCTTTCCAGCTGTTTTCGATCTCCTTTTTAATTTTTGTTGCTAGTACTTCTAATGTTAATTTTAAAACTAACTTTCAGATGTCATTATTTCCTTGGGGCTGACAGCAATGGAGTAAAATTAGAAGCTACCTGAAAGGGTTTAGGGTGCAAAACCAATAACTGAATGTAGCATTGCTGCCTGTAAATTTCAAAGCTTTAAAGCCTTGAAAAGGGATTCAAGTGGAAGTGGTGACACATAGCAGCATAAATAATTATCTTTGGTACCTTTCACCTCTGAATTCTTTTTTACAGCATACAGAACATGGCCTGAAGAGGTTAATAAACGCACTGCTACAAAGTGCTTCCAAAATTAATGCAACTGCCATGGATATAGACTGCTCAGTGATAGTGTGTGTTTGTTGGTGTCTCTGAGGTGTTCCAGAGAAATAAAGAATAAATCCGATTGTGTCGCTCAGATGTTTGACATCGTGATTTTAGCCCGTAATAATACATAACCGAGTGTCCAGATAAATTCCTTGTGTAGCTGGTACGAGCGCTCCTATGCTGCACATGCTGGCAGGGATCTCCGCTGCTCATGCAACTGCAAGGATTATTCAAGGGTTACAATCTACTTGTTTTTTAATTGATTACAATTAAAACCAAACAGACCATCTTCCTGTGAGTGGAAGCAATATCTTCTGTGCATCTCTTCTGCGATTCTGTTAAGAATGGGGTGTAAAAAATTGTTTTCTGTTGAGAAAGTCCTTTTTGATTGTCTGATGCAAACGTGCTGCAGCTCACCCTGCTGTCACTGGTTTGCTCGCTGTCTTGCCAGTTTCAGTGGTTGTCTCTGTGCCCCCATAGGGCTGGGCAGGATGAAGATGGATTTCTCTTTTAAAGCAGGGAGTGAAGCCCTCCTCGCCACCCCTGGCCATGCCCCATCCCACCGTGTCCTCCCCCCAGAAAAACAAAGCCTCTATAGCTGTTGTCAGCAGAATGAACTTTCTGGTCTCTGCAACAGATCAGGTTTTAAAATCATTTGAAGTGCTTCAAGGGGACATCTTTTTGATTAAATTTGCCAACAGTTTTTTACACTGGATAATTGTAAATCAGATCACTGTCAGATCTAAATTTAAATAGAAAAATGTATTTAATGTGCAATAATTTCCAATGTGACATTTTGGGATAATTCACCTATAACTTAAAATGAGTGAGTGCTAAAAAACGCTGCTTCTCTAACAAAAACAGTTTCTTTTTTTTCGTAAAGATTCCTATCAGTAATAATGTCCGACTTGTTTTAGCATAGGATTGCTTATAACTAAAACAAAAAATGAGTAGTCAAGGGAATTTTTTCTCTACAAAATAATAAAATAAACCTGCCTAATCCTGCTAACAGCATACAGGCATCACTGGTAATTTAGTTCAGAAAAATTACACTTAGACCGTTTGTCTTTGTAAAGAAAAAGTGCATATACTGCAAAACCCACATTTCTGTAGGATTTAAAAATTGGCATTTCAGATCTGCCCGTCAGGTGTGGGTTTTGTATGTTTGTTTTTTTTTTTTTTCCGCTTTGTACCTTTTTGTTCCCAGTATTGCTGAAAGCCAGGAGTACGCAGTGGTGGGGTAGCTTGGAAGGAGCCTGTCCGTGGTGCTGTCTTGTGATGGTTTTATTTCTTATTTAGAAACTATGCTGCTCCCGCGGCACAGATGTAAGCGTGGGGTTGGTGCTGTCCAGAGTTGCTCTCCTTTAGTGGAAGTTAAAGCTTGTGCTTTCAGGAGAGTGTCTGGAAACGCTGTGAAGAGATGGTCAGCTCCATCAGCGGTACCTTTCTGTGTAAAGGATGCATTGTTTCATTTTTGTATGGCGCCTAAAGCTCAGCTAACTTGTTTACTATGATGTTAATCCAAAAAATAAATGCTTGCTTTTGTTTGTTTGTAGGCATATGGCCCCGGGAGGCCCTACCCGCTGCCACCTCCCTCAGGAAGATACAGCTGGAATTAGCTCTTGACTTTTTTTTTTTTTTAAGTATAGAAAATGTCTGTTGTTTTTGTTCTTTTATTAATTGGGAGGGGGGGGGATGGAATCCTGTAGTTTAAAACTATGATACTTGTTTTAAACGTGCACATTTCTTACTGAACTGATTACTTTCGAGGGGTGGGGGGCAGGGGCTGTGTCGCTTTGAAATAGTGTATTGCAAAATACGAGTAAACTAGATTTGCTAATTTGCTTGTGAGACATTTGATGAGGTAGGAGTGCTGTTTTGTCTTTATTACGTGTACAAGCTGTGCTTAGCTATGCCTGTCAATTTGAACTCCAAACATCCTTTACTTCACACATAAGAGCCTGAAACCAGACACGGAGTTTTAAAGAATGCACAGAAATCGGATTTTATTAACTCTCGGAAGACACAGCAGGCAGTCTGAGGAGCACGATGTTTAAAGACAAGTCTGTCAGTATTCCTTGTAAGATGCTTCTTTGAATTTCTCACAAAAAGAAGAGATTTTGGGACTTTGTAGTTAAAACATTTCAACTTTTACAACTTGTGCCTGTTTTCGACTTCTGTTATTGTAACATAAACAAGCACAGAAGGTGTATTTGTTTGTTTTGATAGATAATTAAAAAATCGCTCCCAAGTACGGAGTTTCCATTCATTTTTAGTACTCTTTCTAGGGATTTCCATGTGAGTGTACCAAATCAGTAAATATTTTTATTTGCTTTATAAAGTGGCTTTTGAAATTCTAAGCTGTATCGAGTGGTTTATTTCTTTCCCCCTCCAGAACACTTTTGTATCTGTGTATATGCACGCACATTCCCTGTTATTTATTCAAAAAAAAAAAAAAAAATCGCATGCAGCCTCCACAATAGTTAGTAAAACCTTTGTTTATTCAAAAACTCAGCAGCTTTCTGCTAACAGTAGAGCATCCAGGTAAGGTGAGCAGGTTAAAGCTGATAACCTCTCTCTTGGTTGTGCCACCTAACCTTTTTTCATTAAACACGCGTATCGTATCTACCAGGAAATGTGGAAGTTTTGCCCGCAGGGGTGCAATAAAAGGGTGCTTCTTTAGCTGTCTCCTTGGAGTGGTTTTCAGCCCCTTCCTCCGTGGTCCCAGATGTTGATCACCAGCACCAAGGAAAAAGCCCAGACTGCTGTAACCTTGGGAGGAAGAAATCACAAAACTGGATTCATTATTTTCAAGTGATTGAGGTGGAGTGGAATCCTTCATTGTAATGCAAAGAGTTGCCGTCTTGCATGGACCTGTAAAATGCTCACAGCGGCCTCCTTTTGCGCAAACCTTTAGGTCTCAGAAATACATTTTGCTTCTTGGATGGTACAAAACCGGTGGCGAACACCAGTGCTCGTGCAAAGGTGGCGGCCGGGAGCGAGGCTGGTCACAGGAGCGGATGCCCCTGCCCCTGGGGAAGGACCCGGGCTGCAGCCCCCGGCTCTCCATGCCGAGGGAGCCCCATGGGGGTGGGATGCGCCCGCGGTGGGGTGAGGTGGGGTCCCCCTGCCCGGCTCTCCGCGCCCCGGGAGCAGGTTTCGGATGGGCTCTGCGCCGCCGCCGCCGGCGGAGATGCCCCGGCCCGAAATCCGTTTTCTCCGGCCCAGAATCGACCCCGTGCGGCTCTCTGGGCCCGGGGCAGGGCCGCTCCGCGCTCGGGAGTGCGGCGCGGAGCGGGGGTGGCCGCGGGCCGGGAGCGGGCGGCAGGGGCAGAGCTGGCGGCGGGGGCCGCGGGCAGGCGCCGGGAACGAAGCGGCGAACTCCTCAGAACAACGTTTCCTTTTATTGGTAAAAGGAGAGAGAGAGCAGAGAAAGAAAGAAGAAGGTAAAAAAAAAAAAAAAAGGAAAAACAAGGAAAAAAAAAACGGAGGAGAAAGCAAAAAGGAACAAAAAAAATATAAAAGGGAAAAAAGAGGAAGGAAAAGAAAACAAACAAACAAAAAAAGAAAATAAGGGAAAAGAGAAGCCATCGGAAGCTTCCGAGCTGCGCTTCTCGGCGCGCCCGCGGGGCAGGCGCGGCCCCGTCCCGTCGGGTCCCGTCCCCTCGGGTGCCCTCGGGCAGCCTGGGCCCGGCCGGGACCCGCAGCGGCTCCGCGACGCCGCGGCCCCGGCTCCCGACGGAGGCGCGGGGCCCGCCCGCGCCCCGCTCCGGAGCCGTCCTAAGAACGAGGAAAAGTTTCTCCCCCGCGATCCGGGCAGCGAAGCCCCAAGGCTTTCCGCCCCCGCCGCTGCGGGCCCGCCGCGCTTTGTCCCCGGGCTGCGAGCGGCCGCGGCCCGGCGCGTCCCGTCCTCCAAAGCCAGCGGCTGCTCGCACCGCCCGCCGCCTCCTCGGCCTCGGGTTCCGATTCCATTTACCTTCAATCAAATCACGATGAAATTGCACTTCAGGGGCACCCTTATAAAATTAATTCTGCCGAGATAAGTTGCACTTCAGAGGATTTATTGTTGGCGGTCAATGGGTCTGTAAGGTATAAGCGCAGCGGCTCCGGCCCCCGGGCGCAGTTTGCTTCGGCCGCCGGAGCGGGGCCGGGCCGGGAGCTGGGGCGCGGAGCCCCCTCGCCGCCTGCTGCCGCCCGCCCGCCCGCCACATCGGGGCCGCCCCGCCGGGGCACAGCGCCGCGCACACCCCCGGCCGTGCCCGCTCCGCCGCCCGCTTCCCGGTGAAGCCCAAGTCTGCCGAGCCCCAGAGCGTCTAAAAAAGAACGGGGCCGGGGTGGGGGGGACGGGAGGTAGGGGCGGGAGGCGCGGACGAGATCGGGAGGCGGCGGCCCGGAGGTGCCGTCGGGGCCCGGGCGCGGGGCTCGGGGTCCACGCCGGGGGCGGCACGGGGGCGATTACCACGTCCTGCCGTACAGCAGGTTGGGGCTGACCATGCCGCCGCTGTAGTCGACACCGACCGAGTCCATGGGGGCCAGGGGGGGCACCTGGCCGTGCAGCGCCGGCGGGCTGGGCGAGAGCTCCTCCAGGTCGGCCGCCTGCCCCAGGGAGCCGGGGTGCGGGTGGGCGGCGGCGGCGGGCAGCGCCCCGCCGGAGCCGCCCGGGGGAGCGGGCGCGGGCTGCCCGGGGGCCGGGGTGCCGCTGCCCGGCGGCGGGCAGGGCTTGCCGTCCTTCACCAACACGGGCACGGCGACGCGGCGCGGGGAGTGCTGCTGGCAGAGGCCGCCGGCGCCGTCGGGGTGCAGCTGCTGGGCGGCCGCCTTGTCCTTGGCCTGGCGCTTCATCTTGTAGCGGTGGTTCTGGAACCAGATCTTCACCTGCGTGGGCGTCAGGTGGATGAGGCTGGCCAGGTGCTCCCGCTCGGGCGCCGACAGGTACTTCTGCTGCTTGAAGCGCCGCTCCAGCTCGTAGACCTGCGCCTGGGAGAAGAGCACCCTCCTCTTCCTCCGCGGGGCCGCGTGCAGCGGCACGATGGCCTTGGCGCCCTCGGCGATGCCGCTCAGGCCGCCCATCCCGGCCACGTTCATCCCCGCCGACGGGCCCATGAACCTGGAGACTGGGCGGGACGCGCGGCTCAGGGCCGGCGGCCGCCCCGTCAGGGGGCAGCGGCCGCCCCCGCCCGCCGCCGCCGCCCGCCGCCCCCGCCCGCCGCCGCCCCGCGCCCGCACTTACTGCCGGGGTACCGGGGGTCGCCGCCGGCCCCGTACCAGCCGCCGCCCGCCGCTGCGCCGCTCCTCATGCCCTCGGGGTAGGCGGGCAGCTCGCCCACGTTGCCCAGGCCGCCGTTGCAGTAGCCCCCGACGGCTCCGTGCGGGAACTGGGACACGCCGTGCGGCATGTGGTAGGCGGCCGCCCCGGCGGGGCCCGCCACGACGTGCTGCGGGACGGCGGCGGCGGCGGCGGCGGGCACCGGCGGCTGCCGGTAGGGCCCCAGCGGCGCGCCCAGCCCGGCCGCGCCGTCCATGCCGCCGAACTTCTTGTAGCTCTCCTCCATGGGGCTGAGGATGTCGGTGACCGAGAAGGGCGTCGTGTGCTTGGGGCTCAGCGACATGGCGGGGCGGGGCGGGCCGTGCGCTCCCGCCGCCACCGGCGAGCCGTGCGCTGGCGAGGCGCGGCGGCCACCAGCCCCTGGCCGCCCGTAGCTCGCCGTTTCTTTTAGCCCGGCGCCAGCTTTACGCCAGACCCGGGGGGGCGGAGCGAGCGCGCCCGGAGGGGGACAGCGGCGGCGGGCGGCCCCGTCCCCTCCCCGCCGCCGGGCAGCGCCCCCGCCTCCCGCCCCGGCCCCCTCCTCCCGGCCATTGTCCTGCGGCCGCCGACGGGCTCTTAAGCTCGGCCGCCCCGGGGCACCGCCAGAGCGGCTCCGGCCCGGCCCTTCCCGCAGCCCGCAGCCCGCGCCCGTAAGTACCTGCCGCGGGGCGGGCGGGGGGCGAGGAGCGGAGCAGCCCCCCGGACCCGAACCCCGGACCCCCGCCGCTCCCCGCAGCGCCCCCGAAGCGCCGCCGCCGCGGATCGGCCTCAGGACGGCGCGGCCCCGACGGCGCGGTCGCCGCTGCGGCCGGGAGGGCACGCACCGGGGAGCGCCGCTGCCGAGAGGGGCCGGATCCCCTCGCAGGGGGCCGCTCGGCGCCGTTTGTAGGGGCGGTGGTTGGGTTGGAGACCTTCTGCTTTTATTTTTTGTTGCTGTCGTTCGTTCGTTCTTTCGTTCGTTCGTTTGTTCGTTCGTTTTGCGACAACGAAATGCCCCCTCCGGGCTGCCGCAGCCTCCGAGCCGGGGCTGGGCCGCGTTCCCCTCGCTTCGGGCTGGGGCGGCGAAGCCTGCCGCGCCGTCGGAGGCCGAGCGCTGCCTGTCCCTCCGGGCCGCTTGCGGACGGGGAGCCCGGGGCGCTGCTGGGCCCTTCCCCGCCGCCCGCAGCCCAGCTTCCCCGGGCCGGGACGCGGGAGTTGCGCGCCGTCGGGGCGGGCGGGCAGGGGCCGCAGTCGGGCTCCGCTCCCTCCTCCGCGCGACGGGGCGGCCGCGCCGTGCCCAGCCCTGCGCCCGGTGTGCGGACATCTGCCCGCGGAGGGGCGGCGGGGCCCTCGGGACCGGGACCGGGACCGGCCCGTTCCGCACCAGCGCGGCCCCTCGGCGGGGGCGTGCTCCCGACTGGCTGCTCTCAGGCCCCCGACGTGCGCACGGCAGCTCCGGTACGTGGTGAGGCTGCTGCGTGCTCCACGTCCACTGCCCCCGCTGCCCTGCCCGGCTGTTCCTGCCGTGCCCTGTGCCAGGGGATTTTCCCTTCCCCAAACCCCATCCTTTTCCTGACACCTTGGGGAGAACACGCCGAGATGAAACACCCCAGAGGAGAGCTCTGTGTAACCTTCATGCCTCCCCCAAACCCTGAGGAGCCTGGTGCCGCGCAGTATTGAACACATCCACAGCTCTGCGTGCTTTGTTGCTTTTGCAGGTTTGGCTGTCCGAAACTCACGCTCCCCAGGCCAAGTTTACCTGCAACGCTTTATTCAATTCCAGTTTTTCCAGAGATTAGGCACAATTCCTGGTGCTTGCATTTTATTTTATTTTTTTCCTGGTGCACCTTTCTTCCCCTCCACATCCCACCTGCCTTGGCTTGGCTGCAGGTGGGGGCCTGGGGCTGGTGGGGCCATGGCACTGGGCTTGGCTGGGTGCCCAAAGGGCATGAGGGCCAGGTGTCAGCACCAGGGCTGGGCTGGGTCCCCAGCATCCCAAAAACAGGGCATTTCACGGGCTAGCAGAGCAGTTGCTTTGCACGTGGGCTGCTGGGCAGCCTTGTAGCTCAGCTCCTGCTCCACCGGAGTCTTCCTCAGAAGGCTGGCAGTTACACCCACGTTTTCTATTTTGTTTCAGTCATTTTATCATTTTGTCCTGCTTTGTTCCATGTGTTCTGTCTGCCTCCTGAGGCTGGCCCCCTTCTGGAGCACGGACCCTACTCTTCGGCAGTCCCGCTGCAGACAGTGGATGCTGGATGCTCCCCCCACCTGGAGGGGGTCCCCTGACTCACGGCCCCTCTGCAACACAGCCCGAGCCCCCAGGCAGGCAGGGGATGGCAGAGTGGAGTGGCTGAGCTGGTCTGGGATGCCGACATGAGCCCGTGGTAGCTGCTTCGGGGCTGAGTGGCTGGGCAGGACATGAACCTGGCAATTGGGCCGGGGCCTCAGGGTCCCATGCAGCTGATGTAACCTGATGGGGAGCCGTTGGGCCAGGCACAGGGCTGGTAGCATTGCAGAGACAGGCCACAAACGGTGTGGAAGGGGTGGGCTGGGCAAGAAGGGGCCCCACAGGCCAGAAGTGCTGCTGGGGGAAGTGGGAGGGGGAGCATGGCAAGGGGGCAAGGTCCCCAGGGGCTGCGGCACCCCCAGGATGAGTGCAGCCAGCACAATGCCATGCCTGCTCACACCGGGAGCACCCCTGGTTCTTATTAATAAATGAAGCACTTTGACAAGGCCAGTGTGAAATACCTGGTCCCAGTTCAAATGAAACATGGAGGTGATTTTTCCCTTTGCTGTTTTACGTTAGCAGAAACCTGGTACATTCGTTTCCTTTCGACTTCAGTGACTCTGGCTTTGCCAATGGGAGAAAATATTTAATTTCTTTAAAATATGCTTGACCAATGCTAATGAAAATCCAATTAATAAGGCAAACGTTGCGGACAAAAAAAAACACAAAACAAAACAAAACAAAAAACCTTAAAGTCATCCTCATTTATAAAATGTATATTCTTCTACCTTAATCAGTCATTATCTAGAAGTGACATGCAAAAGTGGACTGTGTCCTTCCAGAGCATGGGAAGGTCTAGTTGCAGAGTTTAAGCTAAATGCTTTCAAAAGAAGATTTTTAAAAAGATATACAAAATGCAATAAGGGTGACTGATAGAAAAGCACCTACCAAGAAGTCGAACTAGTAGGTTTTAATTTTTTTGAGTTATTTCCATAGCTTCTTGATTACACATGTAGCCCCAAAGGTCACTGTTGCTTAAAGCTGTGGGAGTGCAGGTGTCATTTCAGAAACCAGTTTGTCTTTCTGATAATAATGACATATTTTGGCCATACGGCACTCATTTCCACAGATAAGTTGTTCTTGCTATTTTAGACTGTGTCTATTACAGTAAAGATATTGACCTTGGCAAGACACAATTGACATATAGATAGAGGCTGATTTTTTTTTTTTTTGTCATTTTTCAATAATCCAGTATAAATGCTAATTTATTTCTGTGGCAGCTCACCTAAAAGCAATAGTTTCTTCTAAATAATCAGCCGTAGTCACTCATTGCCTGAGGTACGGTGTTGTGATCACGGCTGATGGCAGTTTGCCTTGATTCTGCTCTTACCAATAATTTGCAGAGATTAAAAAGGTCTTGGAAATGGAAGCTTAAAGAATTGCTTTCTAAAGACGTTGTTAGATTGAAAAAGGAACCTGGGGTTTCCAGTGCACTCTAAAATCATTTCCACATAAACCCCAGATTTAGTAGTTTTAAGTGTCGCTAAATGGCCTGTTCACGGGGAAGGGATGATGTTTATGCGGCACGGAGAGATCTCGGCTCCCGCTGCAGACGTGGCTCCTGCTGTCCGTGCCCACCCGGGTGCTGTCTCCTCGCCAGGGATGTCGGACACCTGGACAGCAGCTGCAGGAGGCATTTTCGCAGACTTTGGTGGCTCTGCTTACACAGAATAGTCACTGGCAGACGTAGGCGGCAGGGGTGGTCTCCTCACTGAACCTGGCACCTGCCCACCCTGAGGGCCCCCCGCCCCATCCATCTTTGCTTGATGACAATTACCCTTACACAATTACCGTTTGCATTTTTTTTCCCTTGTGACTGCAGGCGTTGCACATTTTGCTGCTTGGGATGAACACTGAATGCCTCAGACATCTCAAACCTTCCCTGAGAGCTGCGCACGCTTGATGGAGTTTCCCTTGGGACTGCCTCTCCGGCCAACCCTCACAGCTCTTCTGGTGCTGTGCTTTGGGCCCAAGTCCTCTCCTGGGAGCCCCCATCACCCTGCCCTGGGAGGTGAGCATCCTTCCACCCACCCGTGCTGTGTGCCCTGAAGCACCATGCCCGGTACCCGTGTGGGTCTCAGCACCCTTTGGCAATAACCAGCTCCTGCCGCTCCTGCTGGCCGGTTCATCTCTGCTCCTGGAGCATGGCTGGGAACACCAGCTGGCCCCTCAGGCCTCCTGCCAAATCACTGCAAAAGGCACCAAAAGACTCAGCACCCCGAGGGTTGGCAGTAGGTGCAGGCATTGTGTGAGCTCAGCTCCTGTGAAGGAGGATTACGCTGATTTCAGCGGTGTCTCGTTCTGTGCTCAGCAAAATCCCTTGGGCCTGGGTTAGGTGGTGCCAGTGGTCACTTCCACTGCATATTGCTTCCGTCTCACTGAAATACCACAGGACTGCTCGTTCTGCTCCCTTCTGCACACTGAGGGGCACCGACCATGCCGCTAGCTCCCCATTCTTGCATTTCTTGCCAGTTTCTCATTTTTTGCCTTTCTTGCCTCAAACTGCAAAGAGGGAACTGGGGGGTGGCTGTGGGCTGGCCCAGGTGCTGGCTGTTACCAGCTAGCCCTGTCTGCCTCCTGTGTGGGCCTGGGCAAGGCTATTAATGCCTATGGGCAGGGCAGGCTGCTCCCTGAAGGCTGTGCAGCAGAAGCAACAGGGCAGGCTCCAGCCCCTGGTCCTTCTGCCCCCAGAGAAAGGTGCTTTCAGCTGCAGAGACCCAGGTAAATGTCCCGTGTCCCCAGATCTGCCTGGGTAAGACTTCTGTTGAGAGAAATGGTGTGGTGATGTGAGTAAAGCCATCTCCTGTCAGCTCCCAGGTGCATCCTCCTCTTCCTCCTGTGAGGGCCCTCAAAAGTTGGCCTATTCAAGAGTGCATGCTGCAAACAGCTTATTTAGCAAAGTACATTAAAAGGAATATCCAAGAGCTGTTTTTATGTGTCCTAGTCACTAATGCTGAAGAATATACTCCAGTGCTGCGTTAGCATCATCTTGTGCAGCTTGCTCTCAGACAACAGCACACAAATATTTATTTAGGGCTTTGGCCTTTGTTGCAAGGTGTCTCACACTGTGTGTTACTCTGGGCTGGCAGCAGGCCCGTGCCCTGGCTGGGCTCAGGACTTCACACCAGCGGAGGAGGCGTCAAACATCCCTGTGCTGCTGGGTAGTGTGCTGGGGTGAAAGTCAGCCTCCTCTTTCCTGGACTTGGCAGAGGTGCCCTTTCTGCAGACATGAAGGCCACTCAAACCCATGCAGTTTCTTCCCCTTGCCAAAGAAGGCTTGGTGCTGCCCTCAAGCACAAGTTGTGTGCTAATGTAACACTAAATTTTTGTTCCCTGGCACCCATCTCCTCCTGTGCCTGGATCAGGAGGGAGCTGAGACGTCTCTTCTGTCAGATCTGGAATCTCTGCTGGTCTGAGAAATGCCAGCCTCTGTTTGTCCCAGTGATTGCCGTAACTGCTGGGTTCTCGTCTGTGGGAGGTCTCTGTGGTGGGGCTGGGGATCTCTGCCTGGTGCCCCCTGCCCTCGGTGCTGCTGACACTGCAGGGGCCGGGGACGCCCTGCAGAGGCTTTTTGCCCTTGCTGCGTGCCCTGAGCTGGATGTTAGAATGGCAAGTAGCAGGGTCTGGGCTCCTTGGTGTGTTGAGTCTCTTCTGTTTGCTTTTTTCAATCTTGAAACTTGTATTGCCACTGAATTACTGGCTTTGTGCTTTACAACATGAAGTATGGCATTTCTCTGCGAGTCATGCAAATAAAGATTCTGATCCTAGCAATGAGCAATCATAAACCCCAGCTAGAGAGAAAGGGCCCAGATTCTGTGAAGGCCCTCAAAAAATTGGTCTGTAGGCACTTTCAGGAGTCCATGCTGCAAATAGGTTACTTAGGAAAGAGTCTAACGTGTTTTTTATTAATAGGGAGAGTCAAAGGGTGCCAATACCTAGCCTGAGCAGTAGGTAGAGAAGTTGGACAATCTGCAGCTATGTAGTTGGCTATAGATGAAACTGCAGATAGGCATTTAGCATCACATGTGTTTTCTTTGGAAAGGGGAAAGAATCAGGAAAAAACCTCCACGTTCATTTGACATCTCCTGATTTCTTTTGTTGGCATCCTTATGTCAGCCTGTGGTCAAGGTGACTCTTTGGGTTAGATTTAGATACGGTGTGAGGGAATCACAAAGTAGAGAGACTTACTGAAGGATCCTCTCCATTGCCTTTGAAGTCAGAATAATATTCCTTGCACAATTAGAAGTAACCATAGTTACTCAAAGCCCTTGCTCCTGGAGGCTGAGCGGAGCAAGGTGGCAGCCAGAGGGGGAGAAGGCACAGCGCAGTGGAAGGGGTGAGCCAAGCCGGGAGCATGTGAGAGCAAGTGCTTGTGTGGGGCTTGGGGGCTGGAGCTGTGCCCACATGGGGCTGTGGGCAGGGAGGTGCTGGGGCAGGGGGCTGAGCAGTGGGGGCCCTTTGGTGCTGGAGCCGCTGTGTGTGTGGGTTGCCGGTGGCCCTGCAGCTGCAAGGCTGGGATGCGCAGGACAGCAGGACAAGTGTCCTCGGGATCGGAAGGGGGCAATGGAGCTGCGGGGCGGAAGGATGGTTTTCTAAGGAAATGACACCTGAGCTTTTTCTTTGAAGTAAATTAAAGAATGTGCATGCTGAGGGAAGCTGTGGTGTGTGATTTGACTCGCACTACTGGCTATCAGGAGTCCCTGGGCCATGCTTAAAATCAACTCACTGAGCTTGGGTCCGAATGCTGTGGGAGGGACTGAGCAGAGCCGGGCTGGTGGTGGGGTGGGCTTGGGTCTGTGGGGAAAAGTCAGGTGTCCCTTGGGGTCACCAACCTCTGTCTGCCCTGTGTCACATCGTGCTGCTGTTCCACAGAGTTTACCTCTGTTTGTGTGCAGTGTTTTAAAAGGGTGACTGAAGAAAGCATGTGTCTTGTGGCCATCTATAGCCACCATTCGCCAAGAGCGGATCCACCAGCTTGGAGCAATTTCTCTCAGTCGAGGCGGTTTGTGTGATGTGAGTGGGGTTTTTCAGGCTTTGTGAAGGATGTTAAATGCTGTGAGGGGTCAGTGCTCCTAACCAGGAGGTGGTGTTGGAGAGGGTACCAGCTACCTTGTTGCCACAGCTCTCCTGTGTGCTCAGCCCTGAGGTGCTCTAATGGCTCTGTCTCGTTAGGTGTGTCTCCAGCTTCATCCAGCACCTCCCGCCTGGGGCTGGATGAGACCATGCAGGCACCCTTAACATTTGGTCTGTATGCTCACTGAAACTGCAGGCTGGCCTCTTTCAACACCTGTGACAGTTTGTGGCACAACCTGGCACGGAGGAGGCCTGAGCTGGGAGGATTTGGTTAAATGAGCTTCATGGATGAAATGCACTTGGAGCAAGTGGTGGCAAATGGGGTTCTGGGGAGACATCACCAGATTCTTCCCTGGAAATCCCCATTGTGGCAGCCACTGTTGTCTTTTTGGTATTTGAGCAAAGCGCCTGGGCAGATGTTTAAGATGTGCTGGCCTCTTCCAGATTGCATTAATGAAGGATTTCATTAGGCTGGGGAAAAAAGGTAACTAAGGTTGAGGGCCTTCTCTTCTCTGCTGTTTTCTCATCACCAAGGCTATGCTATTTTCATACCCTGGGTTACTGCTCTGACTCCTTTTTCTCCTTTGGTGCTACGTGTGCTCTGCAGGCTCTGCCCCCCAGTGCCCTGGGTGCCCCTGTGGCACCTGTCCTCCTGCAGCTGATGCAAAGTGATGGTGGCATTAAAGACTGAAAAAGAAGCCTTGCCTTCTGTAACCAGCAAAGCAGAACAAATTGTACAAGTGGTACTGCTGTGGGGAAGCTTGGGAGGGTGGTGGCTGGTGGAACTGCCCCGTTTGTTCACTTTTTTGCCCCCAAGGAATGCCTGAGAGCCAAGGTAGAAGAGGGGGAGATGAGAGGAGCAGTGTGCACCTGTGCACAGTGTGTGGAAGGAGCCCCGTACCCCAGCATGGAGATGTGCAAGCTCACTCTGTTTGCCCCTTCTATGTGAGCCCACCCTGCTCCAGAGCCCTGGGGTCCTTACGTAGGTGCTTTGAGTCTGTTCCTTTCAAGGGGCTGGGTGCGTGGGGATCAGGCTGTGTGTAGGATCCTCCCGCTGCCCCGGTCCCGGGTGGCAGTGCCCTTGTGGGGCCCTTCTCCAGCGGGCAGGTGTGGACAGCTGGGTATGGACAGTGGCATCCCCACCGCATCCAGGGCGGCTTGCCCAGCGAGCATGCTGGTGTGGAGGTCCTGTTGCTTTAATATTTATAGCACCTTTGCTATGTTCATTCTAACGCTAAACCGCTAATTAATTATGACATTTGTACTACTTCATTTTTTGCTGTGAATCTGCAGGACCTGGCAGGCAGTTAATTAGCTCTCTCTATGCAAAGGATACTAAGAAAAAATAATTGCTTGAGGAATCATCATCATGTTCTCTCAGAAAGGTCTTACCTATGAGCTGGCTTAAAGCTTGCTGGATTTGCACTTTGAAAGATGCCTCTGTCAAAGGCCAATCCTTTGGAAGAGAGATTTGAAGGAGAAGGTTATCTGGGAGATGCGGCTCAGAGGGTGTTATTTAGTGCTTGTAAGTCCAAGGGAAATCAATTATCTAAACAACCCCTGTTCTGGAATGGATTTCTTTATTCTTTTAAAAATATGTCCTCATCTTTGTCTCCATATTGACATGTACAGTCAACACGCCCAAGCTGGGGGAGGCAACCTGTCCTCCTCAGGGCTTCTCACTGCTGTTGCGCAGGGACAGATGAGGAACTTCCTATGGGATGTTTTTCATTTTAAAAACAGAATTAAAAAAAAAAAAAAAAATCTGTGGGTCATGGTGCTTGTGAACAGCTCTGGGCTTCATCCTCATCTTCTCTTCCAAATACTCATATGCATGTACCTGCCCTGTGTACCAAGTGCCTTGCTGTGTGCTGGGAGTGTTTGCATGGGAATAGCAGCACCTGGGGGCCCTGGGCAAGAGCCCTCATGGTTTGATTCCTGCTTTGGTGCAGCTTCCCTGTGGCCTGGCCAGCCTCCCTCTTCATCCACGCTTTCTGGATTCTGTAAAGAGGACAGGTCAGGCCACTGCCAGCTCCTTGGGGTAGCATGTGGGGCTTTGGGTTCTGTTGCCAAAGATAACCAGGGAAATGGGGTAATGGAGGTGGTACACGTGCCTATGGGGATAAAGAGGCATTTTCTTAAACAGATTGAAACCTGCAGTGGGTATGCTTGCCCTCAGCGCTTCCTTTGAGAAACTTGTTTTATTAGCAGATAGTTACATGTTGAGGTTACAGAAGGAGCATTACAGTAATGGAGTTGACATCTATATAATGGAGTTGACATTTTATTGAAAAAGGAAAAAGAAAAAACCTTAACAGGGTTCCACCTCCCTCCCCCTTCCTTTATTTCCTTATTTTGCTGTCATCAATTGCAATAAGGCGCACAAACTTTGAACAGCCGTTGATGCTGGCAATTTAATAAAATTTCATACAACAGTAGGTGCTTCAGGAATGTTAGCAGGACTAATCAGTCTGCGGTAAACTTGAACTTTGCTGAGAAATCAAGGCAATAGCTTGTTCAACAGCAAATCATAACAATTTGAATCAATTCTTGGCAGTACGCTCGTGTTATTAACTATTACGCACAGTCTTGGCTTCCAGTTTGTGTTAGATGCTTTTAGCAAGAAGTTCAGAACAGGGATCCTGGAGGACAGCACCGCATTTCTAAATGAATAAATAGATGTGCTTTGCTCTGTTGTGGCCTCTGGTTGTACTTCACATCATTTTGAATTGAATTGGTCTGAGGTGTAAAGAAAATTCTTTGCGTGGCAGATTGATTAGGGAAGGTTTAGAATAAGAAGGACAAACAAACTGGCGTGGGCTTACAAAAATGAAACGAGGCACCAGAGCAAGGTGCCAACTGGACTGCAAAGAAGATTAGAAAAGGGAAGACAAAAGCATCTTCAGGCTTTGAGCCCCCGAGAAATGTCAATGAAGCATTGCTCAGACCTCCATCTCCAAGGGTTATGGGTTGGGATTCTCACACCAGCTCGTGGCAGACAGGTATGTGGCTGCCACTAAGCACCTGTAAAATGTGCCACCTTCTCGTTGCAGGAGGGCAGCCCTTTGGGCCCCATCTCTCTGTGTTGGGTGGCCAAGAAATGGAAACCACCTGCAGTTCTGCTTGTGCTGGGGCTTCCTCTCCCTCCCTGCCAAGACACGCTTGTACCCTTCTTGGGGAGGCTGCCCTCATCCTGCACGAGCACTCAGGCTGGCTGCCATGTCAGGGCAGGGGGGGTCCCGGCTTGGGGATGCTGCAGGAGCAAAAGCAGTAGAAGTGGAGCCAAGCATTGCTACTCGGAGTGCTCTTATCCAGTATTGCTAGCTGTTATTAATGTAGTGGTTTCCCAAGTTCACAGCTGCTGGGTTCCTCAGATGATCCTCAGTGCTTCTTTTCTTTTTTTCTTCTTGGAAGAGCTGCAGACCTTACTGTCCATCTGGTGCAAAAGGAAGTGGTGGCAATAAAAATATAGTAATTTAGGAAGCTCTGTGGTTTTCTCCTTTGTGTTTACAAAGGCTGTGATTGCATCCTCCCTGTCTTTCCTTGTTCTGACTGTGACAAAAGAAAGTTTAAGAAAAACAAAAGTGAAATACTTTTCAGAAGTAATATATATTTTTTTAATTAATGAAAGTTCTAAGTCCCTTGTTGGCTTCTGTTCTTCTCTCTGTCCTACAATTTAAATAATACATCTTTCTTCTTTGGATAACTTGGGTTACTACAGCCCATTGACATTTATATTTCTAATGTAATAATCAAATGATAAAATACAGAGATTACACTTGGATCAACACATTCAGTTCTTAAACCGTGAAAGTAATTATCTTTTCTCATTTACAATGATATGAAAATATTTTCATGTTAACCATTAGTGGCTGTGTTGTTTGAATGCCAGCTGGTGGCACCACTGTGGTGCCCTATGGCTTCTGTCAACTTGGAGCCTGAGGTTGGACCTGGTGGGGAGCTTTGGGGGAGCTGCCTGTGCCCCTGGGCTTGTCTACTCCAGCCTCCCACGCTGGGACAGATCCTGCACTGCAGGAAGGCGCCTGGTAGCAGAGGCAGGGATTTCCTGGCTGAGCTTGGCCTGCTGCGTGTCTGTTTCTGCGCTGTGGCACACAAGAGGCACAGCTCTCAGCAGCAGGTGAGAATTGGCTCAAGCATCACAGTGTGCCTGGAATGAGGAGACCCTTCAAGGTTCCATGGCTGAGTGCGCAGCTGAGGTCTGGTTAGCTCCATCTCTGACTCCTAATTTAGGAAAACTTTCCAGAGATGCAGTGGTTGAACTGAGCCCTGAGACACACTGGGCTTCCTGGAGCAAGGCTTGATCTCAGCCATGTTGTGGTGATTTTTTTTTTTTTTTTTTTGACCCACTATAAGTTCAAAACCATGCTGCACGGAAGCTGTTAAACTTTGAGAGCTTCTTGCAAATTCCCATAAAATGAGGAGAGAAGGCAATTCATCCCGTGGCGAGGCTGGAACTGTTCCTGACTGCATGACGCTGCTCAAAGAAGCAGTGGGTCCTGCATCACCTGCCAGCCTGAGCCCAGCACTGTGCTGTCACGATGAGATGTCTTGCAGCAGCCCTTGTGTTTCCCTGCCTTTGTGGTGTTTTGGCTCCTCATCTGAACTGGTATAAAGTCTCCTGTTGGTCCTCGCTGGCCTCTTGGGTGAGTAAGTGTTCATTTAGCATTCACTGCGGGTGCTGGTGCCAAGCAGCTGAGCTTCAAACCAGGCTTTAGGTTCTGGCTTTTTGACCAGATCACCCCATTGTGTGCCCCTGAGCAGTTCTATGTGCTGACAGCTTGAAAGCAATGGGCTGCTACACGGTGTGCTGTGTTTGAAATAGATGTGTGTGGCAGCTTGGTGATGGATAAATGGCCTGAACAGTTCCTGTGACAAAAAGGTCCAGTTTCATGTGAATCACTGTGGGCAGATGAGGAGCCTTTTCCCCTTGTCTTGGTTTCAAGGCAACTGCTTAAATGCCCGGAGGTAAGGATCTGGGCTGATTGATAATGTGTTTGCCCAAGTCTAAGTATTTCTAAACTGTGCAGAGATACTCTGTTCTTAAACTCTGGTGTGTTTCAGACAATGTGTTTTTATCTCTCAGCTGTGAAAACAACATTGAAAATCTTGTAACAGTTTCAACCCCTGATGACAATCTAAACTTGATGGTACAGCACCTAATAGAAGTTTGCAGATGTGACAGTGATCAGTGGAGACCTGGTGCAAGGTTTCTAGAAAGGACTTCAAACACCATGTTTAATTTCCTAGTGCTGTAAAGCTGGGAAATCAAACTCCCATCAGCATGTTCGCATGGTCTCATAAGGGGCAGAGATGAAGCTGTGTGTCCTTGTTTTAGCACCTGTGGATGCACGGCAGTGATTATGTTCCATGATGCTGGAGCAATACTGGGGCAACCCAGCGGTGAGTGGTGCATTGTAGTAAATATACTAGCATCTAATTCCTGGTTTGGAATCACAGCTAAATTCCTTTGGTGTCCTGGCAAACCCGGCTTGGGGAGGGGAAGGAGCACTTCCACCTGGTGGTGAGGGCATGGGTGCTGGGTGGTTATGGCTGGGCCCCTTGGAGGGCCGGAGGCTGGTGCCAGAAGGAGTGTGCCCAGCTTGCCTTGTGAGTCCCTTCCAAGGCAGGAGGATGCTTCAGAAAGCATTTGATGTGGGGAAACTGTGCAAGTTGATAAAGAAGTCGATAACAGTGCGTTTCTGAAGTGGAACTTAAACTGCTGAAAATACTTTGAAAAGCACTGACCACAATTAAGCACTTAATCAGGAGAGCTGCAATTTTCTGAGGCTCAAAGTACAAAAATCATGAAGTAGAGATCCAGAGATATGAAGGAAAATGTCTCTTTGGCAATTAAGATCCATTCTGCTCAAAGGCTGAAAATGGTATCATTGAATTACTTTTGTTGCACAGTTGATACACTGAATTATCTAAAATGTAAACCATTGTGCCTAAAATGCCACTCAATAAGTAAAACAGCTTCTCCTGCTCAGCTGTTACTCGCTCTGTGGATTGGATTCTGATGGTATCTTATTTCCCTTCTTTAAAAGAAGGTTTTTAATCAACTTCCTCTTCCCTCCCCCATAGTACAGTGCTGGCTGGAAGGAGCAATGCGGAGCACCAAGGAGAGGTTTTCCAGCCCTCGGACCTGCCCCCATCACCCCAGTTCTTGCAGTGAAGCACGTGCAGATGGGCAGGCTGTCTGGGGCTGGCAGGTGTGCTGACATGTCCCAAAGGGACACCGTGCCAAGCTGGGTGCCGGCCACATCGGGAAGCAGCAGGAGGTTAACAGGAGGCACAATTGCCCCGCTTGTTTCTCCCTCCCAGTGGAGCTGCAGTGACTGAATCGTCGCACATCCAGCTCCGTTGTGTGAATGTCTCTGCTCTTGTCCTTCCTAACCCTGACTTGTTGATCGCAGATCGGCAGTAAGTACTGCTGGAAGTGCTTCGTGCTGAAACCGTTGCTGTTTCCACTTATTTTACACTTGATTATAGATGATGTAAAAAAAAAAAAAAAAAAATCAACAACAGAACTATACATCTGTGACTTGTCAGAACTCTTTGTCACATCTCTGAGTGCCAATAAACATGAAGTCTGCATCCATCAGTCACTTCTTGTAGCTTGTACTCCCTTGAGAGCCTGATTCAGAGTCTGCTGAAGTCAACGTGAGTCTTCCCATTGATTCCAGTGGGTGGTAAGTCAAGCTCTTCTCCAGACTGAGATGGCAGACGCTGTCTTTGAATTGGTTTGGAGTGTCCCACACCTAGTGTGGTGGGACCCTGATTCGTCTTGGGGCAGCTAAGAGCTATTGCAACAGTGAAGTCATCATAAACAAATACAGATGAAATCCTTTCTCACAAGACAGCTTTTTTTTTTTTTTTTTTCATGGTGGTGAAGACACAGAAAATCTCCCTGAGAGGCATGCAGACTGTGTGCACTCCTGTGTGTTTTTATTCAGGCAGTTTAGGAAGTGGGACAAGGAGGATGGAGCATGGGGAAGATGGCTGGGATAGCATGCATTTGGTAAAGACAGTTAAGGTTGATAGAGGTGGTGGCAAACCAAGTTGTTGTATACATCTCTGGTTGCTCCACTCTAGTGTTTGTTTCCAAAGCTAATCGTGCAGTACAGTGTCACATTAACGTAGCCTACAGAGGAGTTAGGGGTGGCTTTTATCCTCTGCTGACTAATGTGCTGCAGCCAGATGGAATGGTATAAATCTCTTCTTACACACAACAAAGCCAAAACAAATATTATGCAATGATTAAGTGACAACCCAAACAGAAGCAGGCGTCCTGTGGGCTGAAACAGGAAATCTTGGGTTACAAACCTCAAAATACGTTAATTTGATTATATATTTGATGACTATCTTAAGTGGCCCATGAATAATTGATGAAAATGAGAAAAGCTGCTGTTTGCCTTTAAAATCAGCCTGTGAAAAGTAGGAACTGAATGTTTAGGAACATAATTACTGTTTGCATGGGTTGTGTGAGAGGTCCCCCCGCAGCCTATGACAAATTAAGTACGGATGCTTACGCTTGGTCTGTCCAAGCTGTGTGAGGAATCGTTTCACGCTCGTGGGGATGTGTCTGCAGATTTGGGTGCCTCTGCTTTGGCAGGCAGCACGGTGTGCTGGCCTGTGGCTCCATCCCACCAGGCGCACAGTGTGCAGCCTGGCTGAGGGGCACGGTGGCCTCCTGCAGCACTCCATGGCTGGAGGCCACCAAGGGCCATGCCACTGGCTTGCAGCAGCCCCCGAAGCCACTCTTGAAGGCAAACCCAAGTGCCCGCTGTGCTCTGCCCTTGCTCTGGAAGAGGAAGCATGAAGCTTTGCCCTCATCTGTGGCTGAGACAGGACAGGAGCCTCCTGAAATTCAGGTGTGTGCCGCTTTCCTCAATTACATAAGCTACCCGTGGTCTGAATGAGAGGGGACAACAGGACCAAGCTTCTCCCACTCTGCCCTAACCAAGTGTGCCAAGATGTTGAACAAAGAACAAGTCTGGGCCACTGTGCCTGCTGCTGGGAGGGCAAGAGGGCAGGGCAAGCCCCATGGAAAGTGTGGAGATGTGCTGGGGTCATGTGCCAGTGTTTCAGCTGGGGAGCTAGGGACAGCACGGCATGCTCGTCCTGCAATAAAACCACACAGCTCGGCCTGGGGCACACAGCAGCCGATGGCTGTGCATGCTTGCTCATTGGGGAGGGGTCTGAAATGGAAGGGGTGAGCTGGCAGTGACTACTTGCTGTCGTCAGGGTCAAAGCCAAGAGAAAGGGAGAACAAGGAAGATGGGCAAAGAGTCATTTTTAAAATAAAATAAAAAAACTTTTATTTGACTGGGCCTTTGAAGAAGCACAGTGACCCAAGGCACAGAACGCATTATTTACCTCAGGAAGCGATCATGAATTATACAGAAAGTTGTCCAGGTGCCCCTCTGGAGCTGTGACCTGTGGTGATTTGTGAACAGAGAGCGCGCTTGTGGCGGGTTGCTCTCAGCTGCAGTCGGTGTCACACCCCACGGGCTCTAATGGAGAGACGCCAGCTTCCAACAGCTGAAGATCTGACCTTAGGAGGAACTGAGAGGTAAAAGCAAGTAGATAGAGAACAAAAGCCTGTCTTTAGCATACTTTAAAGTTCTTAACCTAGATACAAAGCATAGCTATAAATGAAAAGACAACCCTAGAATTTTAGTTTAAACCAAACAAAATTGACTGGTTATGGAAAAAGTCTTGTTTACTGCTGAGCTTCAGTTTTACATTTGAGATGAAAAGGGGATAAAATTTAAGTGATTACTTTTAGCTTCCCATTTAAATATTCGCATAATGATTTTAGCCAAATGGGAAGTCTAGACCAATTCAGGTTTTTGTTTTTATGACGTTGTTAAAGAACTGATGGTATGTTAGGCCAGATGGCTTAGAACATGCAATTGAGCTGATTTATTCCTTCACCAGTGCTGGGGTGCCTAGAAAAATCCCAGTTCCTTCTGCATGTGCTGCTTATTCTAGCTTTTCTATGTGAGTTTTCTGAAGGCAGAAGCCTTCATTAAAGAAGTTATTAAGCATCTTCAGATTTCAGAGGGTTTGGGGCCAGCAGAAGGTGGACCCATAGCTGTCTGGATGGAGTGTGATGTTCAGGTGCTTTTTTCCCCAGAGGTAGTGTGCAATGGCCACAGTAACTTCCTTCCCCAGCCTCTCCTGCAAAGCTGTGCTCACTGCGAGGACAGTAAGGTCATGATTACCAGCTGGCAGTCACTTATCTGTCCCACAGTGGGTTTGGACAGGCCATGTGCTGACACGGACCCAAGGCTGCAGCTGAATCCTCATGTTGTGCCGCGAGGCAGTTTGCAAACACAAAAGTGCGCAATTCAACAAGAACTGAAAAAAGGGGGGGTTAAATCCAAAGTGTCCTGGACTGTAAAAGGGCAAAATTGCTGTCAATGTTACAGCTTCTCTGCCGTTTTAGGCCAATTCTGTGATCCATTCGGTAATCTCTCCCCAGCAAGTTGCTGTCCCCAGGTCTTTGACACCTCTCTCTTTCCCATGTGGTTGCTTTACTGGGGCATTACCCCACACAAAATGCACTGTGGCAGCCTGCTGGTGCAGCATGGGTGGTGACAGCTTCTCTCTTTCCATCTTCTTAATCAGCTTGGATGTTCTTTGTTGAGCCTGAGTTGAGCTTTATTTCTGCCTCTTTCTGAAATGCTTACCTTAAAAGAGAGCCGAAATACAAAAAGGTAGGCAAGTTTCAGTTGTGCTTTTGCCCATAATATGGAGTTTTAAGTGGCCTCACTTGACAAGAACAAATTAAGCAGTTTTCTGAAAAATGCAGCATGCAGCTGCTACTGAAAATCACTGCTCATGATTACACCGAATTCTCTTTTGTAGTGGATTTTTGCCTGGCTGTCACCTAACTCTAAACAGGACCATCAAAGGAAAGTTCCACCCCTACTCATGGCTTGTGGGATGCTTTTTGAAGTAACGGGCAAGTTTTTCTTTTGACCTTAAAGCCTTTGTCTTTGGAAATCATTGGTAAGAGTTCCCTTCCCCTCCTCACTTATTGCCTTGCCTGGGCAGGAAGGTGATGGGGCTGACACAGTGCCACAGCCCCTCTCCAGGTGGGAGGAAGCTGTGGGAGTTCCCAAAACCTTTGGATACATGTGATGCAAGCTGAGCTCTGTGTGTGTTTTGACAAAGGTAATGCTTCATCTTGCATTTAAGGCAAGATACGGCCGGGTTAGAGGTCATTCATAGTGTGCAAATGGGTCTTCTAGGGTCACTCCATGGCTGGTCCATACCCAACTCAATATAAGGCACCACGGTATGCTTTGACTTAGGTTCTCACAGCTGTTGCTTTTTTTTTTTTTTTTTTTATTCCCTGCAGAGGACTCTTTTTCCTGCAAGACGTGGGCAGCACATCCTGAAGGCTGTGGGGAGAGGAAGCTCTGCTGCATGCTGTTTGCAACCTGCACACCTCCATCAGCCCCAGTGGGCGCTCCCATCAGTGGTGTGACCAAAGGATAGGAACACCGTGCCTGTCCTGAGCTCAGGGGTGGCATGGAAATGGTGCTCCTACAGCTGGGGCAGAGCAGGGCCTCTCCTGGCTACCTGGTGCTGTAGAGCTGCATGTTCCAGGAGTAATCACCGCTTTTATTTTACTGGTGTGTATGTGACCTTAGATGCTAAAAGGGTCCTGAGCCTTTAAGCCCCCCAAATCTCCCCCATTTTATGTACTTCCTGGGGTCAGAGGGGGTGCTTGAATCCTTGAGGTTTTGTCTCTGAGTTTAACTGGTATACTGCTGGTTTGTGTTCTTGGCACTAAAAACCAAGAGCTGTCAGAATACATATACGCTGTTCTAAGGTACTCTTTCCTTAAACAGCTGAAATAGTTCAGCCTGTTTGACCAGACCAGGCTGTGATAACACTGTTTTACACAATTTATTCTGAGCAGCTTTGCTTGCAGTTTTCCTGATGGATAACTTTCTCCCTGAAATGGTACTAAACCCCATGAAATACAGCAGATCTCTATGAAGAATTGAGGGACTCTGATGTTTGCTTAAGTCAATCTGCAGCAATTCCAGGCAGGTTGTTCTGAGCTCTCTGATTTGTACATTGCATTTTGAATGTTTCCTATTGGTAGCATTGAGAAGGTTCCTGGCAGTTAAATCCCCAATGTGTAAGTGGAATTAGGGGCCATTGTATGCATCCCAGTTATCTCTGACTGTTCTAACCTTATTTGTGTAAAACAATAAAACACCTAACCATTAAAAGGAGATGTGATTCATGTTTTTAGATGACTTTTGCCTGATGTGTAAAACTTTGAGAAATAATTTGTTAGATTTGCATGCCAGCACATACCTGTGGTAGGGGAAGGGAAGAGCACGCTGCTCTCAGACCCTCCTTGTTATCTGTGGGAAAGGCTTTTTATATTCTGTGACCAGCCAAGCTTGCAGAGTGCTGTGGACCGTGCTGTTGGCCTGAGGTGCCTGCAGGAGGGAAAGACTGCGCACCCAGCTGCCTGGCGTTGGTCTCCTGTCCTCGTTTCCCAGCCCAATGCCTGTCCCTCGCACTGGAGCAGCATTCCAGGCCTCTGGAAACCTGCCTGTTGATCAAGGGTTTTGGGGGGCTTTAAACCCTATGGGGATCTCCCTCTTCTAAAGAGCGCTTGTGCTCTGTCCTGGGGAAAGCAGCAGGCTGGCTGCTGTGGAGCTGGGCCTGGGGGAGGTGAGGGCTGTGGTCCCTGCTGAAGCACCCCAGCAGGGTCAGCCTGGGGGTGAACAGACCGTGCTGCTCCCAGCAACGAGAGCCACCACTCATTCCATTTCACTTCCAAATGGGGTTACAGAGCTGTCCTGCCTGCTCTGATACTTTCAAATGCCAGAAGAGGGGACAAAACCGGAGGCTGGCCTTGGTTTTGACACAAAATGTGGGTATTGGCATCCTTTTAGACTTTGCTCTAGCTAACACAAGAAACCCAATAGGCCAGAGCACAGGGAAAAATGGTGCCTCAATGCCCCAATGTGTATGAGCAATGAAGGCAGCCATGGCTATCCACGTACTTGCCCCTGCTTTGACTTCAGGCAGCGGGTAGAAGAGGCTGAGCGCTGGGTGAGAGCTGTGCTGTCAGCACCATGCACCCATCCTCGCTGTCTCCCCCGTCCCCCTGCACCCTTGCTGCTCGGACTGGAGGTGAAACGTGGGCTCCCGGAGAGGGGGGGGTGTCCCACGTCGGGTAGCTCTGCCAACAAATCGGGCTACCGGGGGCCCCGCTTCTGTGTCTCTTTGCGCCGGGTCGCGATTAGGGGACAGGCCGTTTCCCCATCGTGGCTCCCGACTGGGCGGGCGCGGGGGAGCTGGAGGGCGCCGGGGGGGCGGCGGCCCCGACGGCGCGTCCCTTGTCCGGCAGCGCCGCCGTGCGGCCGTCCCGTCGGGAGGGGGCGGGGGCCGGTGCCCACCGCCTCAGCTCCCCCCGGTCCCCGGCACGGAGATGCCCGGTCCCCGCCGCCTCCCCGCCCCGGCCGGCTCCGCGGGGCTCCGCGGCGCCCTGCGCGGGGCTTTGCTGCCTCCCAGCGGCCGCGCTGCAGGAAAATTAGAAAAAAAAAAAAAAAAAAAAAAAAAAAAGGCACCAGGCAAATCACCAGGCAAATCCCCGCAGCTGCAGGGAGCAATAAACCCCGAAATTGTTTCCTCTGCGGAAGGATAGCGAGGCCGTTTGGCTCGGGGGGGGGTCTGCGGGTTTGGGTGCGGGGCTACGGGGCGGCGATGCGTGCCCGCGCACAGGAGCGCGTTCCCGTAGGGCCGCATCTCGCCGCCCCGGGGGCACCGGCCACGGCGGGGGGGGAGGGTGGGGGGGTGGACGGCCCCGGCTCTCCCCCGCCCCCGGAAGCCCTTCCCCGCCGGCCCCTTAATAAACACCGCCGAGAATTGTTCTTATAGTCGGTAAATATTGGATTAGCTTTTCATTGACCAGCTCTCTTGAAAAGACCCGAAAAATCCACACCGGTTCCAAACTAAGCCAAACAGTCAATAGGTGACGAAAGTAAGTTATTTCCAGGGCTTAACGGGGCTTCCAGCTCATTATCAGGTTATCTGATTCGCCTAAAGAGTTTCTGCCCTTCGAGAGGCTGGAGGAAGAAAGGGGAGGAGGACGAGGAGCGGAGCAGGGCAGGAGGCGAAGGTGCAGCCCCCGCAGTGCCCGCTGCCGCCGGACGGGTGCGGGGGGCTTCGGCCAAACGGGTGGGAAGGGTCCTGGGGTGCCGGGGCCCGGAGCCCAGGTGAAGTCTCCTCTCCCCTCTCCGGGCCCGCTCCCACAGCGGATCAACCCCAGCCACCCCCCGGCTGCGTGGGGGGCGGTGGAAGCGTCAAGGATGATTGCTTTTTGCTTTTTCTGCCTTTCTTTCTTTCCTTCTGTCTCTTTTTTTTTTTTTTTTTTTTTTTTTTTCTCTCTCTCTCTAATCGCCTGACTTGCACAACGAGGAGCTAGGACAAGAGAGAGACAGTTCTCTGGAAAGGACCGGGACTTGGTCAGCGCGGCGCTGCCGGGCTGCATAACATTAGAGGCTGAATGCGCCCTTGTGTGCGCCCCGAGCGGCTGCGGGGCCGGCCGGGCGCGGAGCGGGATGCGCCGGGGGAGGCGAGCCGAGGCGAGGCTCCTGCGCAGCGAGGGGCGAACTTGTCAGCGGGTCCGGGAGAAAAGGAGGGCCTCTGTTATTCTTCAAAGAGAGAGGGAGAGCGAGGGAGAGAGGGAGAGAAAGAGAGAGGGGTTCTTTTTCCCTTTTCCTTTTTTTTTTTTTTTTCGAGAATAGATATAGCACGAATTTTTAATTCGTCTTCCTTTCACAGACAACAATGCTGGTTTTGAAAGCTGGGCACAATTTGGGTTTTGTGAGGGATCCCCCGGCCCAGCTGGCCATATGGGATACAACATGTAGAACATGCCTAACAATGAGCACGAGTGACAGCCGTAACAAAACGCAAAGGACACTGCTCCCTGACTCCGAGATGTACTGCCTCCGATAAATGAATTGAAAGGCCCTAAAAAGAGGGAAGGGGGCGGAGGGGGGGTGGGGTAGAAGAGAAGGAAGGCGCAGGGAGGGGGCCCACCCCCCCCAAACTGTCTCTCCTTTTTTTTTTTTCTCCCCCCTCCGGCCCAGCCCAACCCTGGCTGCCTTTGCCTCCGGCTCCTTAATATGCACGCCTCTAACATGCTCACCTCCCTGCCTCCCCCATTGTGCTGTTTTGTGAAGTCTACTGTATATTGTGCAAAGATAGACTGCCCGGAGCTGGCCCGGCAGCATGGGAGATATAAGGCCACGGAGGTTAGGGCCACACAACTGGTTTTATAGACTTAGCAGAGCCTGGGGGAAAGAAAACGGGGAGGGGGGTGAGGGGGTGGCTTAGAAAGTGAGCATTTTCCTGCACTCCCGCGCCTGGCGCTGGGCGTCGGGGCCGCTCCCCGGCCACTGGCGTTCCGGGCGGGTGAGAGAGGGAGAAAAAGGGAAAAGAAGGGGAAAAGGAAAGAAAAAGGAAAGGAAGGCAGTCCCGAGCGCGGTGGCTGTGCCGGCCCTTCGCTGCCCGCGGAGGGGCGCGGACCCCCCCCCCCGGGGCCGCCGGTCCCGGTTGTCCGCCGCTCTGCGCGCTGCTCGGCCCGGCGGGACGGGGCGGGAGCTGCCCGGCCCCGTCGCACCAGAAGAGGCTGGAAAAATAGATATTTGTGGTACCTCCGGCAGCCTAAAATCGCGGAGCGGGAGAGGGAGAGAGCGGTGTGGATACGAGCGCTCACGTCCCGCGGCTCTGCCCGAGAGGACCGGGTGTCCCCAGGCAGCGCTGGGTGCCCGCCGCTTTCCCCCCAGCCTCTATTTTAGGGTGTCGTCCCTCACCCCGGCAGGCGTTAACCCTTTCTTTCGCCCTCCCGCTCGCGCCCCGGTGTAGCCCCGAAGTTTCCGCGCTCCGCCAGCTCGGGGGAGGCATCTGTGGCGACAGCCTCCCCCCGCCGAGGGACCCCGGCTACCGGAGGGGGTGGTCCTGCGGCGTGGGAAAGTGGCGGTGCCGGTAGAAAAAGCCCCGCTGCCCCTGCTCCTCTCCCGGCCTCGGCGGCGGCAGAGCCCGGCCCGAGGCAGAGCCGCTGCCGGGGCAAAAGTTGCCGGCGCAGGGCGGGAGCGGTGGGACCCCAGCCCCCTCCCGGGGGTCTCCCTGCCGGGCCCCGCCATCCCCAGCCTGGCCCCAACGCGTCCCCAAAACCGGCGCCGGGGCCGGCGGGGAGGAGGAGGTGGCGGCGCGAAGTCCAAACAAAACCGGGGCTCGGCGTCCCTCTCCGTCCTTTCCTTTCCTTTCCTTTCCTTTCCTTTCCTTTCCTTTCCTTTCCTTTCCTTTCCTTTCCTTTCCTTTCCTTTCCTTTCCTTTCCTTTCCTTTCCTTTCCTTTCCTTTCCTTTCCTTTCCTTCCTTTCCTTTCCCTTTCCCTTTCCCTTTCCTTTCCTTTCCTTTCCTTTCCTATAAATAAAAATCCCAAAGCAGCGTTTCTACTAAAATTCGTAGTAAAACGTGGAAGGGCCCTGTTTGCACACAGCTCCGGCTCCGGGCTCTCCCGTGGCGGCGGGCTGCAGGTTTCGGCTGCGTCTCCTCTCCTTGTGCCCCCGGCTTCCCGGGAATAGCCGTGCGCGGCCCCGGGTAAGGCAAAGCAGAAGGAAAGCCCTGGCTGTTGCATACGGCGGCAATACCAACACCGATTTCTAAAAATACCCCTGCTAATAGTTGTCGGGAATTACGCACAGGCAAAATCGTGCCAGAAGGGAAGAAATCGATCTCTCCGTTTCGGGGGGCTCTGCACGGCGCTGCCGAGGCCGGCAGCCGCGCTCTCAGCGTCCAGACGCACCTCACAAAACCACAGGAGCACCGGGGTTTTTATTCTTTTTTTTTTCTTTTTTTTTTTTATTATTATTATTATTATTCTGACGACCCTCCCCCCCCTTTTTATTTTAGTTGTAGGTAGACAGGACCACTGTGAATGGCGCAAAAAATTCTGTAAACAATGACGCACAAAAACACCTCCCCTCCCTTCCCCCCGCCTCCCCCCGAAATGAAACCGAGCCCCCCAGAAATGGAGGGGAAAAGAAACAGGAGAGGGAAAAAAAACAAAACAAAACAAAACAAAACAAAACCAAAACCAACAAAACCAAAACCAACAAAACATAATAATAATAATAATAGCAATAATAATAATAATAATAGTAATAGCGTTTCCCTCTCCATTCCTTCCCCTGTAGGTTTGATTTTCTTTTTGGAGCATCAGTCTGTCTGTCTCTCTCTCTCTCTTTATTTTTTTCCTCCTTTTTTGCGTGTGTGTGCGTGCGGGAGGTTGCGCGCGTGGGACGTGTGCGTGTGTGCGCGCTCTCCTCCAGCGTTCACCAAGTCCATTGCTGAGCCTGTACCAAGTGGTGTGCTGTGGGGTACTGGGGGTTGCTGGTCGCGCTGTACTGGGCGTTGTATTGCATATGCTGTAGAGACTGGGCGCTATAGGCGGAGAAGGGGATTCCCGTCTGGAAAGTCGCGGCTGCCAAGTCCTGAGCTTTGAGCGTGTGGCAGGGCTTGCCGTCCCTGACTAAGACCGGCACGGCCACCCGCCGCGGGGAAGGAAGAGGAGTCACTTCCATACCTTTCTCGGCCCGGGCCCGCTTCATCTTGTAGCGGTGGTTCTGGAACCAGATCTTCACCTGCGTGGGCGTCAGGCGGATCAGGCTGGCCAGGTGCTCCCGCTCGGGCGCCGACAGGTACCGCTGCTGCCGGAACCGCCGCTCCAGCTCGTAGGTCTGCGCCTTGGAGAAGAGCACCCTCCTCTTCCTCTTCTTCCCCGCGTCCCCGCCGCCCGCCGCCTCCTTCTCGTTGTCGGGCGACTCGTCGGCCGACGGCTCCGGGGACTTGGCGGCGGCGTCCGGGCCGCCGCCGCCGGCCGTGAGCCCGTGCACTGCGGGGAGCGGCGGAGAAGAGAGGCGCCGTCAGCGGGCCCCGACGGCACCGCCCGCCCCGGGACGCGCCGCCCGCCCGGCCCCGCGCGGGGCGAGCCCCGGGCCCCCGGCCCCCTCCCGCCCCCGGGGCAGCCCCGGCCGCCCCCCGCCCCCGGGCCCCCGAGCCCGCCGCACTCACGGGAGTACTGGATGCCCTCGGCGCTCGCCAGCCAGCGCGTGTAGGGGTTGTCGCTGTTGTCGTAGAAGGGGCTCTTCAGGGGCAGCGCCTGAACAGTGTCCAAGGGGGTCTGTCCCAGAACGCCCGCTTTCTTGGGGGGCTCCGGCGCTTCGCTCTCCTCCTCGCCGCCCTCCGCGGCGGAACCGTCCTCGTCGTTGGTGTCGGGGAGGTCCAGGATGTCCTTGACGGAAAAGCCCGTCTTTGTGTTGGTCAGAGCCATGGTCCGGGCAAATTGGGGCAGGGGACTTGGAGGAGCAGCTTGCCGAGCCGCCGTGTCACCCGCGCGCACGCACACACGGGGCAGCGGCGACACCAAGGCACACCACGCACACGGCGGCCGGGGGGGGGGTGAGGGTGGGGGGGGGAGGCGCGGAGAAGGAAAAAACACGGCGAAAAAATAACCGGGGGGGGCTGCGCGAAAGAGAGCAAGAGGAGCCCCGGCCGCGGCGGTGGATCTCAGGGTTTCTGCAGGCTCCTTCTGCCGCGGGGGAAATTCGGAGAGCAGGAGCAGCAGCTGGCTTCGAAAATAGTTTGTAACTCCAGGGGAAAGGGGGAAAGACGCACACACAAAAAAAAAAAAAAAAAAAAAAAAAAAAGAGGAAAAAAAGAGGTAAAAAAAAGGATCACTTCTGGATCTTGCTTAAACACCCCGAACCCGTGCCTGCCGCTTGAAAAAAACAAGCCATTGCTGGAGCGAACAGTCCATATAAGGCTGGTCCCCACACATGAACCTGCCGAGAGGAGGGAGAAAAAAAATACATTAAACCCGGGAAAGGTTGGCCACGTGTGGGCGGGTCTTGGAAGTCAAGTGGATGAAGACAGTGTTTGCAGATGCGAAATTGCGGGTTTTGGGCGAGCTCCGAGCTTCCACCATTGGTGATGAGTGGTATAACGTGTCAGTTAATTACCGGCGTGGGGAGGGCCCTTCCTCGTGTGTGCGCGAGAGAGAGAGAGGGAGTGTGTGAATTCTTTTTTTTTATTAAACACACTATTTACATACAAAGAGCCTCGCACCAGCCCGATATTCCGCACACTCCAAAGTGTGTTTTTCCTGCCTTGAAAAGCAGCTAACAAAACCAAAAAATCGGGGGGTGGAGTGGGGGGGGGGCGAGGAGCCTCAGGCCGCCTGCCCGCTCTCCGCCCCCCCCGGCAGCATCTCCCTCCCGGCCCACCCGAGACCCCCGCCCGTGGCGCGGGGCCGAAGCACGGCGCGGCTCAGATGGCAGGGGACCAACTTATCTAAACCGCCTAGGTCAATATTTTGGTTGAGGCTTAAGGATGAACGCTGGAAATTAAACAGCGAGTAATTGATTCTAGTATGCTCCGAAATTAACAGAACTGGCAAAATGCTATCGTCAGGCACGACCCGGAGAGATCTGCTACGCGATTAGGGGGGGGGAGCGTTGGCGGGGGGGCTTTATTTGAAGAGGTCTCCGTGATTTTGCCTCTTTCTTCCAGGGGAACGGAACCCGACCCGTCTGGTTAATGTAACGGGCCTGGAGCCCAACGGACTTTCAAATACGACTGCCTCCATTTTTATTTTATTTCCATTTAATTCTTATCACTATTTCTGTTCCAGGACCTGTGGAAGGAGGAGGCTGGAGGAGGGCTGGCTGTTCCCGAGGCGGTCCCTGCAGGTGTCCCCGGCCGCGGGTCCCGGCGCTGCGCGGCCGCGGCCTCCCCCTGCCCGCTCCCTTCCCAGCCCCTTCCACCCCTGTCGGCCCGACACCGACTGCTATTTTAGCACCGCCACCCCCCTTCCTACACCCCAAAAGGACCCTGCTCGGCCGTGCGCGCCCTTCGCCGTGCCCGGCCCGCACCTTCCTGGTCCCTGAAGCAGCCTAGGGCCGGGGGCTAAAATCTGGGCACGGGCTTCTCACCGCCACCTTTATTTCTGGGAAAGAAAAGTTGTCTGAGTTTGTCTTCCCGCAGGAGGCAGTGGGAGTCGGGCTGGAAGCGGTGGGCAGAGAGGAAGACGGTCCCTCAGACATCCTCCTATTTGCCGATCAATTTATCCGCATCTTCCCCTCCTCTCCCTCCCCGCTCCCCCCATCTTTCCTCCCCCAGCCCCCAGCCTGCCTCCCATAAAGTATGTGATGTGGCTGACAATGCCCAGGGATTTTTTTTTTTTTTTTTTTTTTTTTTTTTTAAGCGAGCCCCTGAGCACATCCTGGGTGGTCGGACCCGCGCAAACACAAATACAACCCTATGGCTAAGCTGGAGACAATGTCCGCAATGTAGACAAATGTCCGGCTTCTGTTGGAACCCTTTGTCTCGGCGCAGTTTTTGCATTTATTTCAGTGGCGAAATAATACGTGATTGACGCCCTCTTTCAATGTGTCCTAACTGTTGGGAATAAATCTGAGGTTGTTCCTAGTTGTCATGGTATTCAACCGCACTCAATGGCTATCTCTTCATCCATTTCGGAGTCCTTCCTCGATATTACGGGAACCCCTTCTTGTGGGCTCTCCCCCGCCACTCTCCTTCCCCCGCGGGGAGGGGCCTGGGCAGCTCCCCGAGCTGGGGGATTTGTCCTCGTGGCTGGCCTCATCCCGGCCCTAGAGACCCTTTTATCGCCCCGGCCCGACCTGCCGGCGCGGGGGCGGCGGCCGCGTTTCGCCCCGATGGGGCAGGATGGGGCTTCGGGTCCAGCAGCAAGAAGGGGGACAGTCGCGACAAGCGGCGTGTCGGCGACGAAAGGTCCCGAATGAAGGGGCAGCGGGGCGCTCGGTGCGGCCGGGAGTCTCGGCCTTGCGGATAAAAGCCAAGACCCCCAAAACTCGAGGAAAAGGCTAAACACACACACAAATCAAAATCAGAAACGCCGCCGCAAGGCACCCCACTACCCAAGGCAAATGGCCGCGCAAATGCCGCAGCAGGCAGGCGGCGGCTGCCGACCGCCGGGGGCTGCAGGGGGGCGGCGGCGGCCCCACGGCCACGGGAGGCGGCGGTGGGGGGGGGGGCGCGGAGGGGCCTCCCCCGGGGGGAGCCGGCGCGGGCGGGCAGGTTCCGGGGGCGGCGGGGAACAAAGCTCCCTTGTGGGCCCGCACAAAGCCCCGGGAGCGGGCCCGGGCCACGCGGGGCCGGAGGCAGCCGCGGGCGGCCCCCACGCGTGGGCACCGAGCCAGCTGCGGGCGTGACGTCACGGGCGGGGCGTGACGTAAGAGCCGCTCGGGCCCTCTGACGTCACGAGGGGCCGTGGGGCCGGGCCCGGGCCGGGAGTCGCCGGGCCTCGAGGGGGAAAACCCGACGGCGGGTCGGCGGCTGTCGCCACTGAGCTGGGGAGCCCGCGATCGCGACACGCTCCCCGCAGCCCTCTGTGCCTGTCCACGCTGCGCTGCCCTCCCCTCCCGGAGCCCCCACGGAACCGGCCGCCCCCGCCCCACCCGTCACGCAGGGGGAACAAAACGGGGGAACGAGGCGGCGAGACCCCGCAGAGCGCCCCCGGCTGCTGGGAGAGGGGGAGCAAGGGGCCGGGGGCCTGGCTGGTTTGCCCGGCCCGGCCTGGAGGAATTGGAGCCCCAGCCCCGCGGCCGGAGGGGCTGTTTGCACAAGCCAACAAGAGGCTGGAGGTGAGGTGCGTGTACACAGGCTAAGTGGCTGTACTTCAGGACAAGTGCCCTCTAGGAGCGGGGGAGTGTTTACCTGTTTACTTTCGCAGGTAGCTCAAACAGCCCCGCATTCGCCCTCCCTCCACCACCGCCCCCCCACCCCCCCCGAGCGGTGCGGGGAGCCCCCACCCCGACGGGCGGCGGCTGCAGAATTTAGCTGTGTTCAAGCTCTTCCCTTCCCCTTCTCTCCCTTTCCCTTTTTTCTTTTTTTTTTTTTTTTTTTTTTTTCCCCCCAGAGAGGGGGAAGAGACACTTGGTGGGGGATAAGAGGGGAAAAGAGCCCTTCTGAGCGGCTCTCAGCTGCTGTGATCCCTGAGAGGCGGCGGCGGCGTGCGCGGGGCGGCCGGCGCTCCCCGCAGCTCCGCGGACACGCGTGGGGCTGCGGAGCAGGCGGCCGCGGCTGGCCGACACCTCCCGGCCAGGGGCCGCGGTTTTGGGGCGGCGAACTGCCGTCCTCCGCCGGCCAGCGGGGAAAAGCTGCTCCGCGGAGCCTGGGCTCTGCTCGCTCCGGAGCACCAGCCGTTTGCCACCGTTTTAAGCCACCGACGCTTCGTCCCCCTCCCCGGCGAGTGATATCATACACATCCACTATATGCAATAAGATGTAATATGTGTATAAATGAACGCGGAGATGCTTGACAGGAGTCTTCCGCTGCTCCTCCCGTCCCTGTGCAGCTCGTTCGCGCTGACCTCTAACCCATCGCCACATCGCATCTCCGATAACAGCCGTCAAGTGGATTAGTTTATTGTCTGATTAGACCAAAGGTGCGAGCTATTGTTTTCCTTCACTCCAGACCACAAATAAACAAATAAAAAGAACTGCACCTTGCCGCTCGTTAAGCGAAGCCCGCACAAAGCCTTTGTTAGGGGAACAGGTTTATTTTATCTCTTAGAATGAGCTACACTTGAAATAAACAGGGGAAGGGAAGCGTAGTTCCTGATAATTGTTATTAGGGGATTCACCTGAGGAGCATCCCCGCTAAGCAATACCGCCTTTGTTTTACGGGGGAAAGGAGGGCTGCGTCATTAAGAGAAGACATCTTTTGTCGGTGATAAAAACAGCCACCACCACCCTGTCACTTCTAGCTTTGCCCTACGCGAGCTCCGCACAGGCGGCGAGAAATTGCCTTCGCCTGGGCACCGCGGCCGCTTCCAGCCCCGGAGCTCAGCAGCGGCCGCGGGGAGGCTCGGGGAGCCCGCAGCCGGGTTACCTTGCCCGCGGACCGCTACAAAAAAAAAAATAAAAAAAATAAAAATAAAAATCGGATTTCCTGAAATCACGGGGAACCGGGGCCCTCTGAATCCTCCGTGGCTTTCAGGAACTTAATCGTGATGGGCTCGGAGTTTCTGGTGGGTGAAATTCCCTTCTCTGTTCCTGGCTGAAAAAATTGTATTAACAAAGGCGTTAATGATGGTTTTTGGTGGGGGGTAAAAAAAAAAAAAAAAAAGAGGGGGGGGGGGACGAGAGAGGAGAAAAAGGGGGAAGATTCCCCCGCATACAGAAAGGGAGCCGGCAGAAGCCTTCCCTATCGAGGCTCGGGAGAAACCGGCGCTACCCCCCAAAATCCCCACGCCGGCCTGCCTTTCTCCCGGAGACAATTAAATCTTCTCCAGGACATAGGAATCTAAATGAGCTTTCCTATTCTCACGATTACTCTCTCTTTCCCCTGAAGCTTCAAAGACGGAGAAATCCTTCAAATTCACCGATATTACTTATAAATTTGTAGATCTAGATAGAGTCAACCCCCCAGCCAACCTCCCGAGGTGGCGAGTTGTAATAGAAATTCGGATTTTCCCCCTCCTCCCTGGGGGCTAATGGGGTTATGTCGGAGCCGGAGGGCACATGTTAGGGCTTTGATAAATGCACTTTAATGAGATCTTTGAAAATATTGCCAGTGGAGTCGGAGGCAATGCCAGCGCGAGGCAGTTTGTTAGCGCAATGCGTGCTAGCACAAAGCCGGCAGATTGAAGCCCCCGCACCTCGCAGCCACCCGGCCCAGCTATTTGTTTGTCTTATTTAGTTTTTCCTTCCGGCCCAAGCTGTAAGCCTGGCCCGGGGCCTCTCTTCCCGTTCCACCCTATTATAACCGTTTTATTTCCCGGCCAAACGTTTCGTCCCCCCCAGCGAGCCCCCCGGCTGTATTCGTTCCCATCTCCCTAATGATGAAACGTGTCCCAATGAGATTAAGCTTTGTCAGAAATGTTCTTCCTTGCGACGAAAAACCCAACTCGTTTCGATAAGGGTAATTTGAATGCGGGAGATTTGTGGCTCTTGATGAAACGCGGCCCTGAGAGCACTTTCTTATCTGAATTTACTTCTTACACCCGCACGCACAACATGGAGGGCTCGAGGGCCAGCCCGGCCCCGGCTCTGCCGCATGCGGACCGGGGGGCGCGGGGAGGGAGCGCACGGAGGAGCCGCGAAGGCTCCTTGCGGGAGAGGGACGGCGGCGAGGGGGGCCCCGCCCGGCTGCCAGGCGGGGGGGGCCGCAAGGAAAAGGCAGGAAAGGCACGGCCGGGGATGGATGGAGGGAGCGGCGCGGCGGGAAGAGCCGGCCGGCCCCCGGCGGCGCGGTGCGGCCCGGCCGGGCCATTCCCGGTCCTCTGGCGGACTCTGCCGTCGCAGCCGAGAAGTGTCCCGCCGCAGCCTTGCCGGGCCCGGGGGCGCTGCCCCGGCCCCCCCCCGGGGCGGGGGGGCCGCTCGTCCCGGCCCCGCGGCCCTGCCCGTCCCGTCTCTGGTACCGCCAGGCGCTTGGGGGGGGGGGGGCACACGCGACGGGACGGGTCGGGACGGGAAGGGGAGACCCCGCCGTCGGAGCCCGGGGAGCGGCGCTGCCGTCGGTGCGCCCCAGTCGCCCCGCGCCGCCTCTCGCCTTCCCGCAGCCCCCCGCCCCAAAAAAAAAAAAAAAAAAAAAAAAAAAAAAAAAAAAAAAAAAAAGGCACGAACCCACCTGCAAAAAGGCACGAACCCACCTGCTGCTCCCCCGCCCAGGCTTCCTTACACCCCCCCGGCCCCAGAGGACCCCCCGCCCCGCTCACCTGCGGCCGGCTCTAGGCGGGCGGGGGCTGAGCGCGGCGGCCCCGCGCCTCTCGCATTGTCCCCGCCGTGTGCGGGCGGCCGCTCCTTCAGCGGCTTTACATCGCCCGCTCTGTTTGCTTTCCTCCCCGGCGTGTGACGCCAGGCGAAATACTGGCCATATGTTCGGCGGTAATAAATTGGTTATAAGCGCAAACACGCCGGTTCCTGGATGGCTCTTTTAAGCCGGCCCCGGCCCCGCTGCCGAGCCGTCCCTCTTCCCCCGGGGGGTAGAGCCCTCCCCCCGGCCCCCCCCTTTCCCAAAGACGCCGGGAGCCGCTTTCTGCCCCCTCCCAGCGCTGCCCGAAGCCGGCCCGACTCCGGCCGCCACCCCGCTCCTTCGCACCTCCCAGCCCGCCCCGCCTCGGGCAGCCGGCAACTTCCCCGGCAGCCCGGGCTGCTCTTTAACAAGCTCGCCCTCTATAAATCGCTCGGTAGCTAAGACGCTATAAAAAACAAATAGCCAGATGTGGCACGTTATTTATGTGTGAAAGCTCGTTTACATTAGATATGCTGATCCAAGCTTTGATAGCGGGGGTTTGCCAGAGATTAGAGCTGGGTTTCCATAGACAACTCCAGCTCCAGCCCCCCTCCCCTGCCCCTCTTTGGTTTTCTTTTTCTTTTAGCAGAAATTTTATTTATTTGTGCTTTTTTTTTTTTTCCTTTTTTTTTTAATAGGATGGGTGAAGAAAAGCCAGTGGAGCCAGGGGTGCTATCTGACTTTCCTGAAGCTGTGGACAGAGTGATACCAGTTTGACAGAGGATCCTCCTAAAGGTACAGCCCCCTGCAAACACAGACAAATAAGGAGAGGCTTCCTTGGCACCCCACCCTATAACCTGTGCCCCCCAGACTGGCCCTGCTCTTGTCCCTCTCATGCTGCAGCTCGGGAAGCGCATCCAGTCCTGCTGTGAGGTGGGACCCCAGCCACCCCTCATTCTGCCAGCCCCAGGCCAAAGCCAGGGTAGCTCTTCGGGTGTCAAGCCCCATGTACCAAGGGATTTCGCTGCTCCATTTGAAACCCAGGGACCTGCAAACACCACGACCCAAGGCATGCTTTCAGCATCCTCAGGAGAGCTCCCCACCTCCGCCAAGCTCAAAGTCCTCTTGCACGGGCGTCACTGGTTGCTCCTAGGGCTGGTGGGAAGGTGACAGAGACACTTCTCCATCTCACCTCACCTAGATTCTCTCCGTCACCTGCTGTATTTTTAAAAACACTGGAGAGACCTTGGACTCCTCTGTGAAAGTCTCCAAGGCCCAGGTCAGATATCGCTTAGCTAAATACACCCTGGTCACAGGCGGCTCTAACAGAGCAGCCTGCAGATAAGGAGATTGATCCTCAGAGTAATCAATAAAGATCTTGTTCTGGGCAGTTAATAACTTTGCCAAACTTGCTTTGCTTGGATAAAAAAGCGCCCGCATTGCTGACCAAGAGAAGTTTTTTGGGAAAAACTAACCATCCTGTTGATGAAAAATTAAAAAAAAAAAAAAAAAAAAAAGCTAATAGTTAGATATGTATTCACATACCTGCAAAGTCTTTAGCCTTTATAACAAGAAATTCAGTCCAAATGTCTGGGGCATGTCTTGCTACATCCCCCCCCCCCCCAGCTGCTCTGTGTGGGAGTGTGCTGTGCCCAAGCTGCAGGAATGGTGCTGGGAGGAGGGGAGCCTGGGAGCAGCACCGGGCTGCAGCAGCAGGATTTGAGGTAGGTGAAGGAGGGCTCGAGGGAAGCAAGCTGGAACCTGTGGGAGGGGAGCAAGGGTGAGGAGGGCACAAAGGTGGCCAGTGATGTGAGCAGCAAGCTGTGCCTTTGGGAGGCTGCCCCTTCCCATCCCTTTGCTGCCAGACCTCGGGAAAAGCAGGTGTCTCAACCTCCGTCTGATGCTGGCTGGCACAAGACCTGCCATGCTGATGGTGGTCCAGAGGGAAAGCAAGGAGTGATGGACCACAGAGGTGCAGACGTCCCCTCTGATAGTGACAACCAAGCTGTGTCTCAGATTGTATTTCAAAACATGCATTTACATTTTTATTAATAAATTTATATTTTTGTTCATTAGTACAAGCAAACCTTTTTGGAGGCTTTCTGGTTCCTGATGCATGTGGCTGAGCACTGCACCAGAACTGCTGCCAGCCAGTGTCCTGAACATCTCAGCTGGCCCCGCGCATCAGCAAGTGCTGTGGTCATCTGTGCTGCACCCAGCTCCTGGGGTGTGGGTTCCCAGTGGGTACTGCTGTCCTTTGCACTTAACCATGTGATTTGAGTCTTTATTGGGGAGTAAAATCTGCCTGGGGGCTTATTGGGTGGTGTGTTTCACAGGTGGGGAGGCTTTTTGAATATTGATTTGTCTGTAGGGTCTCCAGGAATTGTTGCTTCAGGAACAAAAAGGCGTTCCCTTTTCCTTAAACAGCCCCAATAATCACAATGGCTTTGTTGGAGGAGGCTGGGCTGTCAAATTGTGTGGATGCGTTGGGAAGGGCTCCCAGACACAGTGTAACTGCAGGGAGACAACGGGTGCAGATGGCTGCTGCTCCCATCCATCCCCTTCGCCCTCCCCTCCTGCACCCAACGCAATACCCTGCCCATCTCCAAGGAGGTGAGGGCAGCAAGCCCAAATATGCTGGTTGTGTCCCAAAGAGGCAGGGGCCCTGTGGCTTCTGCTTACTTTGAATCAGTTCGGGCCACCATGTCCCGTGCTGGCTGCTGGGGCTGGGTCCCCAGGTCCCAGGACAGATCTTGCAGGTCAAAGGGAAATGGCAAGGGCTGGCCCCTGGGCCTGGGGAACTCAGTGTTGGTTGGATAGGGTGACTATAGCTGGGGTATATATTCCCTGCAGGGGAATTTGGAGTGACCAGCAGGCAATCCTCCCCTGGTGAGGAGAGCTGGCTAAGGGGCTTATTTGGCACCATGTGTCGAGAGATATCACATTTTGGTGGTGAGCAGGGACCGCTGCCATGAGGTCTGGAGGACACCAGGTGGGCAAACAATGCCTGAGGTGGCCGGCAGGGCTTTGCAGCACAGGAGCTGTGGACGTGTGGACCCCAGTGGTGTGGGACATCAGCCAGGGCTGGCGCCCACCCTCCCGGCAGCCCCACGCACACCACAGCCCATGACTGGTGTGTCTGAGGGTGCCTCTGCTGCAGCCTGTGCCGTGTACACACCTGTGATGAACAGATGGCCACAGGTCATCACTGCTGGTTTGAACACACAGCGCAATCTGGCTGCTCCCCGGGATGGCTCCTTGGCTCTGGTTCGTGCTGGTGGGAAGAGGGGAGGAAGAAGATGAAGCCCATGGAGGAGGAGATGGGATTTGCTCCTTTCAGCCAGATTTGATTTGGAAGAGGGCACTAATCCTTCACTTTTCCAGTTGGGGAGGCTGCAGTGTTGCACAGGATTTGGCCCAGAGCTGTTTCCAGACCCCAGCCATGGGCACAGGGAGTGGTGGGTCCCCCAGTATCACCCCCAGAAAGGGCAGGGGCAGGCATCTCCCAGTGGTACTTACGATTTCCCACTGGGACTGGTTTTCTTCTCTCCTCTTAACAGCCCATCCATCCATTTCCTTTTCTCTGTAGCTGATCTCATTTTTTTTCTGTGTGCACCCAGGTTTTTGTACGCCATTTGCACTTGTGATGTTTGGCTAAGAATTGCCATGGAAGATGCTTCAGAAGGATCCAGCTCTCAGTGGGCCTGCCAGGACAAGTAGGTACCAGTCTGTCCATACTTGCACACACTTTCTGTGGACAGTTGGGAAAGACAGGTCATGCCCCGAATGGCTTGTCCATTACTAATTACTAATTACTAATTACTAATCCTGAAACAGAGTCACTGGGGTGCATGAGTAGGTGTGAAAGAGCCAAAGCAGGATTTTTTTTTTTTAAACAAACAAACAAACAGAAACCCAGGGAAAGACAGTGACATTGATGCTGTAAACCCTGAGAGCGACATTGGAGCCAACTGGGAAGCCACAGATAAGAAGTGTATCGCGGGCATCCCATCAATCACGCGTCCATCTCTGGGCACCCAGACACCGGCAGAGCAGGTGGGAGCACAGCTGCAGCATTGCTGTCAGTGAGGATCAGCAAGGATGCTGGTGGGGCTGCTGCTGCCTCCTGGCTCCAACCCGGACTGAACCTGGGACCCAGCACTATCCCTGGTACACTGATGGGGACAGGATCTGCTGGCATGGAGAGGGGGCTGCTCTGGGAGACCTGGGAGCTGGAATAGAAGCTCTGCCAAGAGTGATTTTGGCCTGTCATCACGTAGTGTGCTTCCCAGGTGAACTTGCCATCACCAATGACAATATTATCAGGGCTTTCTTATACAGAGCCACAGTGGAAGCAACAACTGCCAACCCTTATGGGCATTTCTACCTCGAGCTCTGTGCTTGGTGTAGTGCAGAAACCACGGTCAGAGCAGGTGAAAAGAGCAATGTATTTCAAGGACTTACCTAGGAAAAATGTGACACATCCAAAGTGACAGTCTGAAAGATGATACTGGAAGGGCTGTTCAAAGTTGTTTTTGGAGGGGGCTTGCTGCCTGTTTTCTTTAGTTTCCATGGAAACCAGATGCAAACCTAGTGATAAGGCAGGCCGAGCTGTGTCCCTGGTAAAGCAGCACAGCTTGCACCAGGGGGATGCTGCCCAACAAAGCCAGGCTGTGCAGTCCTGCACCTTCAAGCTGAGCACCAGCGTCAGCACCGGCCCTGCCGGCCACAGCGGCAAGTCCCTGCCATGACCTTGCCACCAGGAGAAGATATTTCCACTAGATTTTGGTCGCTCAGCCCTGGCCATCCACCTGTTTCGACAAAGCTGGTGGGGCTGTGTGTGGTTGAGATCTCTGCCCAATCCAGCGGTCAATGGACTTGCAAACCTCCATGGAGTGGAATAAGACAGAAATAGAACAGGGGAAACAGAACAGGCACGCACACATACATGGGGTGCTGGCCCGTGGAGAGGGGCGGGAGGGTCTGCAACCTGGGGCAAGGGGGGGCCCCGAGGTTTACACCAGCACCAGCAGGTGCCACAAAACCAGGACCTGCCCATGAAGGGTCTCTGAGGGTGCTGGCGAGGACAAACTTCAGCAGGTTGAGAAGCCCCTGCCTGGACTCCCCATGGCTTCTGGCAGATGCTGACACCACAAAGCAGGCGAGCGGAAAGCTAGGTAAAGGTGGCACGAGCGTTACACATTAACAGCGTGACCGACTGCTGTCTTGTAACCCTTCCTATTACCAGGGACCTTGGTGCGGCTGGCCTGGCTAATGTGTAATCCCAGATCTTCCCCGCTCCCATCCCCAGGGATGTCCCAGTAGTCAGGATGGTGATGGGAGCTGTGGGCTGGGGCTGTGTAGGCAGGTCGTGCGTGCTGGGGAGGATATTTGATGGTGTTGATCTTTATAGATAAATATTTTTCTAGTGGTCCTAAATGTTTCCTTGTGGGCGTAAAGCAGCCCTGGGAGCTCGTGAACTAAAGCCACCTTACAATGAGTCTGTTTTTCTGTGAAAACGTGACTGACAAGACACTAGTGTTTCCCATGCGCGCTTGGCTGGGTCGCCCAAGACGCCGTGGCTGTTGCCACCCGGTTCACAAGATCACATTTGGGGTGGAATTACAGACGGTGAGCTGCTGGCGTTGAGTGGTGTGGGGAGCTTGTTCTGCTGCTGCTAGACGCTCAGCCTTGGGCTGCCGCCCTGTTATGGCTTGTATGAGCGTGGAGAGTAATGGTGTTTCCGTGGCTATTGCTACTCATGGGTGTTGCCACAGAAATAACTAAAAGAAATTTTGATCATTACTTCTCCTTGGTGTAGAGACTTACTATTTTTTATTTTTTTTCCCTAAGACTAAAGTATCTGGGATTTGAAGCCATGGAGGAAGCAGGACAAACCACTGGCTGGCAGGGCACGGGGAGATGGTAAGTTGTGATGTGCTCCTCCTCTTCTCTGAAGCCCGTTTCATTGGGTTTTGTTTGTTTGTTTTTAAGTAGTTATGTTAGATAATGACTCTCAAGTTTCTTTTTTTTTTTCCTCTCAGTACAACTAAGTCAACTCTTTTGCTTATGAGATAGCGTTATACACCCCATTTATTCCAATAGTAGGTCACATTATATACTAATCAGGATGCTAAATACTCTCTGTAAACCCAAGTTTTTCATCAAAGGAAAAGACCTGAGTGAACAGCTGAGTCAAGTAATGAATATCAGGAGGGTTCTGCTCTTCAAAGGCAGAGAAGCGTTTATTCTTTTTAAGATAAAAGCCTGATGTTTAAAAAATAATTGGAAGTAGACCTAGACGATTTACTTATCACAAAATACTATTCACACAAATAGCAGCAGTCTGATTTCCTCCCCCACTGCAGACTGCACTTCAGTCGCAGGAAGACCTGACT